AAAAGTCACCCAAATCACTCCCAGCTAGTCAGAAACATTTAAAATAATGTTTCTAAGCAATTCAATGTATCTACAGTGAGTGTGTTGTTTAAATTTCCAGTATTTTTCTTTTTCTCACTTTCTCCTGAAATGGCGCAGAAAATGAGCATGTCTTGTTTCGTTTGTGGGATTGCATTACAATTACCACTACAGTACGGCTAAAAGTATGATTGTTTTGGGCTTTAAATGCAAGAAGCAGCATAAATTCACATACAGAATGTGTGTTTTCAAACTTTTGATTTTTGACCATTTTTGAGCGACAGTCTCATGGCTTAAGGGAAGAGAATTTCAGTAAGAGCACAAGTGCAACTTGTACCTTTAGTGTACCTTTGAAGTTCCTTTTGTGGGAACCATGATAGCTCTTTGTTTTGTGATTTTGAAAACACCACACACAACTGAAATTCCACAATGTTCTCATTGTGTAATACAGCCTCCTTTTTATGTCTAGCGCATTCAGTTCAAAGATGATCAGTGCGAGCAAACGTGTTAATATGCTGATGATGTGTGTTCTCAATAGATAATCCACTGAATGTTGCACATATACTGCAGATTACATGCTTGTCATAATCATTTAAACCCTCTTTTGGCTCAGATTTCAAATGTGCAAAATGCTCATACTCTGGTAATCAGTAATGAATCCAGAGCATAGAAAATACTGTCTTTAAGTCTGATTCGCGGTCACCGAGGGGCACTCCTGTCTCCGCAGATGACACTTTTTATTTTTAAGATAAACGCGAGATAAACAACGTTTGTTTGAAACCGCTCCACAAATTTTCTCACATGCACGTATTCTCCAATATCACCACAACAAAACCATCAAGTTTCTTTCCACAGACAGTATTATGCAATAAACCAATAAATTAATGAACTAGCAGAATCCCAATAAAAACACACGGCAACCCTGCAAGCACAGCATGTCAATATCATACATTTTTACCAACAAAACCGCAAAAGCAAAAACCAGCAAATATATATATATATCCCATGATTTTACCTTATTCTGGAGCATGATATATATCCAAAATAACCCAGACTAGTTTATCTCAAGAGCTAGAGACTAGTAAACCTTATTGATTACGTAGTAAATTTTTGCAGAACGACCGCCAGAAATAAGGCGTTTGATTGGTAAAAAACGCTGTCATTCATTGTATTTTCAGCTTTTCAGAGCCCTTAGGGGGTGAGACTTCCTCTAGATGCTTCAGGCTGTCAATCATTGACTCAGAAGGGGTAATCAATCAGTTTTTTATCAGTTTCTTATCAGTGCTCCTTTTTTTCCACACCAGAAGGCAACTCTGAGGTTTTTTTTCATTGCATAACAGCAGATAAAGGCTCTCTAGCAGTGTCTAAAGGTTTTTATAGCAATTGCAATGGTAATTATTCTTATTTTCAATATTTTCATGATTTTTTATTAATTTATTAATTTAATTCCAGGTCCAGTCTTCACAAAACATGATGTAGAATTTTTTCGAATTGATCAATTTGTCCCAGATTTGTATCCAAGATAGTAGTCACCTAGAACAAGGTTTTCAAATCATTCCCAGGCCTTTGACATGCATATATTTGAAAAATCTGACCTCTGAAGACCAAAAAAACATGTTTGCCAGCAGTTTGTTGGGGTTTTTTTTTTCATATGTTTGTCTGCTGAGTGGACACATTAAGAAATATAAGAAATTTGACACTCAAAGCCAAGGGGGTTAGCTTCAATTTAAGACCTGAACCAGGCTCCTGCTATGTTCTGCTGCAGAGATATAACAAATGTTTAAGGGGGAGGAAATTCCAGGCGGACATTGGCTAAATATGTCACTGGTAGTAAACGGTTAATGATAAGTGTTTTTAATGTTTCTGTGATTATTTCATTTAATGTTAGTACATTATTACAACCAGAATACAAGTATTGGAGTCTGCAACACTGAGCGTTTTTTTGGTAATATGATATACTAAACAGTATTTATACAGTGGTTCAGGATTGTTTTTAACTGCAGTAAGATGGTCATTTCATCTTCTGAAAACAAAACTAAGCATAAAAGTGTTAAAAAGTATCATCTGCCATAATATGTTTAAGAATAACCTGGTATACTACAAACCAGAAGAGATACAAAACTGTTAATGCCTGAACTCTGAATTATCTCCACAGATTGCCCTGCAGATGGACACACGTGGGTTCCTTTTGAAAAAAGCTGTTATTATTTTGTTCATGGACAAGATGACATTGCAAAGAGCTACACAATTGAAGATGCTAAACATATCTGCAAGGGATATGGTACCATTATCTTTTCACTCTAATACTATAAGACTGGAAGGTTCATTATACAGCTGGACATAGCGGGATTTTTTTATGTTTGATAATTAGGCACAATACTCCTCTTATCGTTTAGAGAGAAAACACAGGAAATGTGAAGTCTATTTTATTTCAATCCATATTTAAATTCACATTGGACTGTACTGTGTTTTAAATATTTTGTTTACTGGAAGTGCAACCATATTGAAATGACTTCTTATAGTTAAATGAAGCCATATGCTATAAAGATCTAAAAACATTTTTTACATTCTGTTATGAAGAGATTTTACGTGGAATTATTTTTCAGGATTAATTGATTATTTTAAAATTTGCAATATTAACTGAAGAAAACTGAATCTTCTTTTTGGAAATATGTTATGTTCTAAACTTTTACTTGACAGGTCTTCTGAGCATCAGCAATATGGAAGAGAATAATTGCTAAATACAGCTCCTTCGTGTGGAAAGACCAAATAAATGTGTGGTTGGGCATGTTCTATGATAGTGACAGTAAGTAAAAAACATTAAATGACATTAAAACAAGCAGAACAGGTGACTAGTGGTTCATTTCCGATTTGGTTCTTTTACCATTGAACCTGCTGAGCTACTCAGTTCACCAAGTAGTTTTGTTTTGTTTGGGTTTTTTTTCTGTTCTCAGAGGAGGTCTTAGGGATGATATTGGTAAGGCTGAGGTCAACAAGCATCAGAAAATGGAGTTTTGAAGAAAAAAAAAGTTAATTTCATATCAGCCTGTAATTTCTAGATATTGCCTTTGTGCCTTTTCAACTCATAAAATAATTTTCTCTTGAGGCTTCACAAAATCAGGAAGTTGAATAAGACTTGTGTAAAAAAGGAAGTTAATGTTCTTTGGAAAACAAAACTATAGGAAACAATTTACATTACATAAGATCAAGGCCTTCTTACTGAAACTAAGATGGTTGATGTTCTTGTTTTCCTGTGTGGGTAGTTTTATTTTTTGACTTCCTGAATTTACTTTATTTTTTACTTTTTTGAAATTGACCTAATTTCTGTGTTCTCTGGGTTTCATTCTAGGTGATTTTATCTGATAACAATTTAAAAAGGTTTTAGGCTCTGGAATTATTCCCAAAAATTGAATATCCTACTCAGTCTCGGATAACTTTATCTTTATAATCTTGAACAGTGAAGTATTTGAGGAGACCCGATTCAAGCATTCAGAATGCTTCAGGCTATCTACAGTGTCAGTTTATTGAAGGTCTTCAGAATCAACCGTTAAAAAAATGAACCAGAGGACACAAGTGGAAACAAAGTAAGGTTATGGGAGTTAAACTACCCTACAAAACTGGCAAAGCTGACCCCATGACTTCTTTAAAGAAATGGCTATCACTTAGCTATTGGAAACCAAATATGTTAGGTCGAATGAGTGGCCTCTCTCTCTTTGTAACCATTCTTATGTTCACTTAGTTGTCTGTGAAGTATTTGGAAGCTCAGTTGGATCAAAACACACAGACACAGGGCTCCTTTAGGACCACAGCTGAAAATCCTAGTGCTAAGCCACAAGTAGTACCAATACGCTAAAGGATGGACAAGTCATTCCTTGCATTCATTATCTACCCGATAGTCACGAGGTACAAAAATCTAATTTGTAACAGTACAAAAAATTAAACCAGTTATAAACAGAGTAGTGTTGAACCTAGTCTCATGTGCCAGGTCAGATATTTCTAAACAAGGTCATATGCCCATTTCTGGTTTATTCCCTTATTGTCCCTATGGTTTGAAATAAAATAACTTCTATATTTGTGGAATGCATGTTTCTTCATAAATAAAATACTGTACCATGCTTTTTTGTTATTGTTGTTTCAAATTTGATATAATAGTGGTGCCTTTACTCCTCATGCATTTGGCAATACCCAAGACGTCGTAAAAGAAAACTGCATTTCTATCTTGGTGAAGAAACTGATATAGCAGCTGCTTGTTGTTTCCAGACCAATTTCATGAGCTCCAGAAAATCAAGGCCTTTGAGCCTCTGCATTCCTTTATCTTATTCCTCGCACCAGATAAACAGGGGATCCAGTGACCTTGTAGTGAGAAATAAAAAACAACTTAAAGGCACAGTCAACTTTGTAGTTGCTCTTTTATGTCGAGTCCACTCAATCCCTTTTTTCTCTGAGCAGGTGATTCTCTGAAGTGGTCTGATAAAACGGATGTAGTTTTAAACAACTGGGACAATAGCTCCACAGACCAGGCTTTGATTGATGTCTGTGCGGCCTTACACACCAGCTTGTGAAAGTGAGCTGTGAGGACGACCCTGAACACGGTGTTGTCTGTGAAAGCGCTCAGAGTAACAGTAAGAGTATGCTTTTTGTATTCAGAAATGTTTGGTCCAAGGTTATCGGTGTGTTAACAACACAGGCTCGGTTAATAGTTAACATGGAGGCCACTTGTATAATGGGGTTTCTAATCTCCCTAAAATGTTCTGTACAGTTTTCTGAAAATGCTTTAAACATATTGCTCAGGAAAGTCTGCATCACAGTTTAGGAGATCTTATTAAGCTTCGGCTATGTTATTTACCCTGTACAGTATGTGATAAAATAGACAAATTGTGGGTTTTTTTCTTTCTGGTTTTACAGGTACTGTTTCTTCAGAAAATATTTATATCTCAAATTTTTAAATATATATATATAAATGCAGTGGACCAGATTATTTAAGTATAATAAGTCACAAATTAAAGCTGAAGTAAATTTTAAAAAGTTGCCTACAGGCCTTAAGGCCACAGTAAGACTAAGGTAAACAGTTTGTACTGAAGGCTTCCTTTGGCTAAGTGCATAATGTTAGTGGGGTCTACAATGATGACATCCTTTTGAACTGCATCCTTTTTTAAATATTTTTTGTCACTTTCAGGTAAAGATAATCGACTCTGTTCTTGGCACTAGTTATTCTGAGCGTTCTGAACATTATCGGGATATCAGCTGTGGTCTGGTTCTTGCATCAGAAAAATTACTTCAGCTCCACATCGTTTACATCATTTGAGTACCGCCCTCCAGTTAGATCACCGTCTGGCGATGAGACTTCTTTAGTGGAAGAAAGCAGAAGAAAAAGAATACATGGCGTAAGTGAGCAATCACCCAAAAAGTTGGAAGTCCTTATTAAAAAGGGTTTAATAATTAATCAGCTCTGGAAATTTTTAATCACTATGCTATCAACTGCATTTGTTTATTGTATTCTGCTGGTCTTTTCTGATTTTGCCTCTCCACCTCAGGTGTTTTGCATAAACTGCCAAAGAACAAAAAAACAGTGATTACTACCAGTGCAAATCGTTTGTAACACAACGTAGCAAGTCAATGTAAAATTACCTTAAATAAAAATTTCTTCAGGTTGAAATGTTTTTGAATTATGAAGGTTTTTCACTTGCCTTCCTCTATTCTGCATTGCTTTCTCCACCCCATCTGCTTCCGTTTTCTACGGCTTACATTCTTGTGGGGACTTAATGGAACATTATATTTCTTAAGTATTTCTTAAGGGTTAAAAGGTTTCACTTTAAAAGCTGTTCAAGATCCCTCCCTCATCTGCATGTCTCTCTCTCCACCCCTCCCTTCTTCATTACCTATTACATTGCTAGGAAGGCTGATGCATTACTGTACCCGTCTCTTGCACATTTTCCAGTGTTTTCATGGTGGGGTTAGATGAATATTATAACCATAGCCTGACAGTATAACAAATACTACCAGTAATTTTCCATATTAAATTTTGATCATAAATGTTTTCTAGACATCTCATCTGACCCTTACTCCCACTTGAATCAATGGATCTTATAACCCAGGTATTCCAGTAATAAGGAATTCTTCAGGAACTCAACTGTCCTGCTCCAGAAGCCACTGTATATGATCTGTTGCCACCACACTGTCCCCTTTTTAGTCTTCAGAGTAGACTCACAGGAAATCTGATTCACATATCCAGCATCTTCAAAAGCACTGATAAATAGACTATTTCATAATCAAGTGAAGCTCAGAAGACAGAAGTGGAATCTACACAGTAGTGACTAAGTTAAGAATGGAAATTACTTCTTTACATAAAGGTTTGTTAAAGCCATTAAATATGAGCTTCTTTCAAGAAATGGCTGGATAACATAACTGAATAAATTAGCTACTAGCAACCAAACAGACTAGATCAGGGATCTCCAGACCCACTCTTAGAGAACCCCAATCCAGCACATTTTATAGGCAGCCCTTTAAATCATCCATTTCTAAAGGCCTGGAACAATTTAACTAATCAATTAAACCTGTTGTGCAATTAAGTAGAGATCATTTGGAACAAATCAAAATATTCTTCAGCTCTCAATGACCAGTGATTCTTCGCTGGAACAATCTTACAAGAATGTTTCAATGTTGCTAGTTGGTACAAATATTTGCCAGACGGTTCAAGAATTTTATTACGATTTGTTGATTTTACTGTATACCATAACTTAGTCTTCAAACAAATGAAACATTGAATCATATTTCTTTTAAAGTGATGTCTTAGTTTAATGCACATACCTCAATTTTTGTAGCAAACCCAAGTAGAATGAGCACACAACTGAAAATTGTTAAGCTATAAAATTAAACCATTTGGGCAACAAAAGACTGCACATTTGTGAACAAAACACGTACTGACAATGACACATTATAAAAGACAAAAAGGCAAGTATGAAGGAACATCTAACTTTATTAATCTTAAAACAACAATTTCATCAAAATGTAAGTCAAGGCAAATACATACTGATAAACTATTAAACATAAAGTAAATCTAGAATTGCAGTATAAAGCTGAATTATGTAAATTATCTTAATTTATAACGAAAAAATGTCTAAAAGTGAATAGTGAAAAAAACAAAAATGTCCCAAAACTCTTTCCAATAATCTTTCCTGGTTCTTGCAATGTCATTACCTTTGGCCTCCTGCCCTGTTCCACCCTTCATGACAAGAAGGGCCTACCTGAAAACAGACGCATTAGAGTATAAAAGGTCTGGGAGGAAAAACACATCGCAGAGTTTGAAAAATTTTAGACACTTTCAAACCACAAGTGAATTCAAAACAAGGCATTCCTCTACAAAAACCAATGACAGTTGCTTGCATCTGTAAGACATAACACACCAGAGTCTTCTTCCCAAACAGGAAGTTTTAACTTTACATTTAAGTATTTAAAGCACTCATGGTATACAGTAACTTGTTGTGGATTACCATTATAAATGAATGAAATGAACAAGGCATGAAAATAAAGTCACTCAAATTTATCATGATACAGACAAAAAAAAGAAAAGTTTAAATTTTGGTAAAGAAAAACCCACAACCACTATAACATTCCTCACACTACCTACACATACCTATTAACCACCCTTTAAGGCAAAACGTCTCTGTATTTTACAAAGAATCAAATCTAAATTGGGCTTTTTGGCCCATGAAACTAAACACTGAAAAAGGCATGGTTTCCAGAAAAGGATTTATAACACAACGGGACATTACACGTCGTCCTGAGTACCATTTTATTCAGTACTGTTCCTCATCATCATCTTCAAAATCAAAGGATGGTCTGCTGACAGTTTCAGCTTCCTCTTCAGATTCTTCATAAGAGCCTGCAAAAGGTGAAGGAAATTGGTATGATGTTTCAGACACGACAAAACGCTACAAACAGCTCCTATCAATATAGTGGCCTTTAACAAGACTTTCCAGTTGAGAAGACTTTTGTTTTTCAAAAGCGTCATGTTATTTATGCTAAAAATCCTATATACCATAAAGAAGAATGGTATGGACATAAGCAATTAATACAATATCCATGGCATTATTTCATAAAGTCATGCATTTCATACAATAGTAAAACACAGCATCAACTACAAGTGTTCATTTGCATCTCAACCTCCATGTACTTTGCAACAATTGCCAAAGTCTGAAGATGCTAAATTTATTTAATGCTCTTGGTAACTACCTGCACATAAACTCAAAAATACTAGAGAATTCTAGTGAGTAAAATCTGCTTCCATCACAAATTAAAGCTATAACACAACTGACTCCACTAAATGTTTGTGGATGTCCATGAAGATATTTAACAATGGTCTGCTCACAAAAAGCAATCTGTATTACCTCACTTTCACTAGTTAATTATTTTCTTACAGTCTGAATTGCAGTTTTCATTAATCTGACAAATTTTGCCTGGAAATCCTTAAGACCCAGTACTAGAACACTACTGGTGAAGGCAACAGCAGAGCTGGCTAATCAAGCCTCTTGTGGTGTCATTTACATCAGGTTTCTTCACACTAAGGAAATAAGTCTACTACTACCTTACTGCTCTCGGGAACCAGGGGATTATTTCATGCTGGACAATTCATGTTTTGGACAAGATGGGTAATTCCCAACAAACATACTATTCTCTACATCTTAATTTCATAGGTCAGTGTAAATGTACTTGAAAAGAGAAGGCACTTTGCACTAACATCTATTGTAATATTGTGACAAGTTGGCAATGTCACTTTTGATTCTTCAATGCCTTCTTCTGCCAATGATTAAATTACTGCGCAAGAGTTTCTGAACACGACTAATGACAGAAAAAAAGGGATATCACACCAATATCCCAAAAGAAATTCAAAACGTACTTTCAAGATCATCCATGTGCTCATGAAGGGTCCTTGCTAGGTTGAAAAACTGAGCAAAAGAGAGGGGAAAACGTTCAATTTTAACATAAAAAGACAAGATTCACATTTCAATAATCTCTGTGGACCCACTTTTGCATTCAGTACTAGGATTCCCTTCAAAGATTACCATGATTCACAATGTTCATAAAGGTTTTGCAGTTTAAAAGAAATTGTTCCATCATTAACTCAGTAATAAGTTTAGTTAATTGCAAAACACAAATCAGAGGACACAGGATGTGCATTTTAAAACTGAGAACAGGAAGTTTTTTTTTCATAAAAATGGCTGTGAGAATCGAGAACCAACTAACCAGCCATGTTCTCAAAATAAACAAATGAGCTACACAGGGCAAATGTAAATGCCCTCCTTTCATTTGTAACCTGTTATGTTCCTATTTTCTGTTAGAGTCTGCTATCGAATTAACAGTTAGATTATAAGGTTGTAATTCAACCTTCTCCTTAATGGACAATTGGGATATTAAAGATCAGTCAGGGACACATCCAAATAATGAAATATCTAAGAAAAGCACTACCTTTTAGGGTGATTATAGCCAGCAGCCATATCACCCTCCAACTCACAACTGGCAACCCACTGGAGCTAAGCAGGTGTGAACCTGGTCAGTACCTGGGTGAGAGACCTCCTGGGAAAACTAAGGTTGCTGCTGGAAGAGGTGTTAGTGGGGCCAGCAGGGGGCGCTCACCCTGCGGTCTATGTGGGCCCTAATGCCCCAGTATAGCGACGGGGACACTATACTGTAAACAGGCGCCTGTTCTTCGGATGAGACGTAAAACCGAGGTCCCGACTCTCTGTGGTCATTAAAAATCCCTGGGCGTTTCTCAAAAAGAGTAGGGGTGTAACCCCGGTGTCCTGGCCAAATTTCCCATTGGCCCTTACCAATCATGGCCTCCTAATAATCCCCATCTATGAATTGGCTTCATTACTCTGCTATCCTCCCCACTGGTAGCTGATGTGTGGTGAGCGTTCTGGCGCACTATGGCTGCCGTCGCATCAGTGGCGGTGGAGGGGAGTCCCCATTACCTGTAAAGAGCTTTGAGTGGAGTGGAGTGTCCAGAAAAGCACTATATAAGTGTAAGCAATTGTTCTTCTTATTATTATTACTACCTTGGAAAACCTAAGAAATTTGAAATTAGTTTGCTGATTAGACTCACTCCAACATAGAAAACCTTCCAGGTGAACTTTATTTTTTAAGGAGATGTAGAAATCATGTGCAAATATTTTTTTTTGCCTCCATTTTTATGACAAAAATATATCTTACCCCAGCATCATTTGCAGCACCCAACACATCAGAAAATCGTTGCTCACACAAATGCAGCAGGACAACAAGGTAAAGACCACAACTGATGAACTCGTACTCAGCCTGTAAATAAAAATACTGAAATGATATGCTGTTCATTTCTGTAAAGAAAGCAATTACTTGTATTTTATGTTGTATTTTCATTATGCACTCAAAGCTACACTGCCATAAGATGGCAATTTAATGACCTACAGTTGATTTGTCATTCAAAAAACATAACATATTACAGGATCATCAAAGATATTAGGAAGCAAAATGTGGATGAACAGTTAACAGATCTTTCTGATGTTCACCTAAACTGGATATGCTCCCTTTTCAGCACAGCTATGAATAATACTTACCCTTTCACTTGCATGGGTTCTGTATAACTCATTGATGTCAAAGTTTTCAATGTTAAGATGCAGTTTCTCCTTACAAAGCTCACATGTAGTAATAGCTTCTAAGCTTGAACCTTCCAAAGGAAAAGAAAGATCCTTAGCTTTCTGGCCACAGTTAAAATCTCAATAAGAAATATAATTACAAGCATTAACATGGGTTACCTGAACTGATTTTAGAGCGCAGCCACTTTTTCATGCACTCCTGGTGGACGTATTGTAAACTGCCAGTGCACTTGCAAGGCTCAATCAAAGGGTTCGATGAGGAGTCAGCCCCCATTTGGCAAATACGGCACAAATCTCCCTCATCATCCGATTCTTCTAAAAGGAGGCTACAAGTGAGAAACAAGTCATGTTTTTTTGTTATACACTCTGAATATAAAGCCAGAAAGTCCAAAGAATGCTTGGTAAAAATTAAATTGTATGTAATGAAACTGACCAGTCAGTGATTTTTTAACATTACCATTTGACTCCGCATGACAATGTAAATGTTTCTGACATTAAATAGTGATATGGTGAATTACCACTAAACTAATGTCACATTCATTTATCATCAGTTAAGGAGGTGTTATTAACCTCCTTATGAAGTAAATTTACAATAACAGAATTTACGGCCCGTGAGCAAGACTTAATCCCAACTAATGACCTATAACACGCTTACACAGAAAATGTGAAAATATTTTTAGAAATGTTTCACCTCACTAGATACAAACTGCAAAATTAAAGACCCAAACTCTCCCCACCCCACGTTACCTCTCTTGGATTTTCTTGAGCTTCTCTGGGTCTCTTGAAGGAGCAGCCTTGTCATTTTCCTGTCCATCAGGCTGAGGTCTTCCAGCTGCCATGATGTCAACAGTAATCATAACATTATCAGACAAGGAGCTTTCCAGTGTAGATGGCATGGCAAGACGAAACAAAGAGTTAGGAACAATCTCGGAAATTCGTGGGTTTCGTTCATCCTGGGAAGTACCTTGTACAGAAGCACTGGATGCAGCAGCAGCAGCAGCAGCAGCAACTGATGAAGCAGTTGCTCCAGCTCCTTGAGATTCTTCCTCTGGCTCTTCAGCAGAGGCTTTGGGTTCTGGGGACTCCTTTCTAGTCCAAGAATATTGAGAGTTTCCATATGGTTCTTCAGAGGTAGAAGCCATTCGTGCAGTCTCGTCTCTGCCTTCTCTTCTTCTCCTGGAGAACAGCGGGGTACATCGGTTTCTAAAGGAAGAGGACAACCAGGAACCAGAGCTTCTGCTTTCAGTGGCAGCTGATCTTGAGGACTCTGGATCCGCCTGGGAATTCCGTGTTTCTAATATAGGAGATAAACTTTGCCTTCTGCGTCTGAGAAATGTGAAGCCATTGGAAGAATCTGAATCTCTTCTTTCTGAAACGTCGGGGCTACTGTTCCGGCTATCGCTGCTTTGTGAAGAATTTTCATCCCTTGGAACATCAAAAGGATCTTCCGAGGATGACTCAAAAGACCTAGAACTTGAACCTGAGGAGTCTTGACTTGATCTTCGGGAGAAAAGTGTTGAGGACATGCTGAAAGCTAGACGCGACAGTAACTGTCTGGTTGTCCGCCTGCCTTCTGAATCGCTTGTTTCGTTCGACCTCCTTGGCGAGGAAGAGGTGACCCTTTCTGCTGGTGGGTTATACCACCAATTGGGAGATCTCGAAGACATATTCCTGGAATCTAGTCCCCCTGATGCTTGAGAGGATTCTTGAGCCCTTAAGGTAGTAGACGTAGCAGACCTGGAGGTATTTCTATATGAATCTCTGGACAATAAAGATGGCTGGTACTCAGATGGCATATAGTGATTCACAGAACTACTCATTCTGGTGGATGAAAATGAGGATTCCTTGGGCCTTGCCCCTTGTGCATAAGAGGACGTCGCACTGTCTGGAAGATCTAGGATATAAAAACATTTTGTTCATGAAATTAATGAAACAGCTGCAAGAGAACATTACAGTTCTTGCAAATCTGTCAAACTAGTTTACTTTTGGCTAAAATAAAAATTAATAGCTAAGGAATTACCAAGGTATGAAGTTTCCTGGACTGAAAATAAGATGAAAAATGATCATTAATTCGACTACCTGACACACCTTTTCTGGCAACACTGAATAAAGAACAAGGATTTATTCAGATGCTAACATCAACCAACCTATAACATCAGTAATATTAACAGTTCTGAGCTTATAATTGAAGAGAAAATCTAGCTCAAACAGAACAAACTTGGAAAACGGCACATACATGCTGAGGAGGACAATACACCACCCCTACGGCTGTGCTCTCCAAGATTGGAGAGACTTGGCTCAGCTCTTTTATCCAGCTCCCTCCGAGGACGTGTGGAATCTGTGGACGACGAAGACAACCTGGAAACTGGGCTGTACTTCCATGATGAATCTAAACAGAATGTTTCAGTTTGTTATTCACCTGTATGTTAAAAAATACAAGTTGAACAAGTTAATAAATTGCTATTTGACATACCAACAAGGAATTCTAGCTTTTTACACATACCAGGGATGGCCAGCCCTAGTCCTGAAGGTTTAAGAGATCACCCTTAAATCGTCAATTTGCAAAAACTGCGTGAGTGAACTCATCAAAATGCTTTTATTTAGGACAATTCAGTCAACAATGATCACTGACCGTTGAACTTCATTAGCATTTTCATTTCATACGAGTTCTAAACTACTGAACTGAACAAATTGTCTGCTTCAGTGTTCAAAACACCTGTGCCAAGTGTTTACACACATAGTAGACGTGTTAAAGAGGACTTCAGATTCTAGGAACAAGTAAATGTTTATTCCATGGTGAAAAGAGAAGAAAGGAAATAACGTTTCGGCTATGGAGTGCCACATCCGAAGAAGGCTCCACAGTCAGAAAGTTGCGTTTTTTTTCCTTCTCTTTTTACCATAGAATAAACATTTACTTGTTTGTTTGCAGCCAATGCATGCTGATGCAGCTCCCTACTTGAACTACTTATAAGATTCTGCTCCTTCGCTGGCTTTCCACAAACAGGTCATGGCTGGCCACCCTTGATGTGAGGTTTTAATGAGTGAATAAGGAAAGGTTTAATACTAAACTTTTAGTATCAACTCCAACAAAAGACACTGAAACAAAATCTAACTAAAGGAAAACAAATTAAATGAAAATAAAACGCACCATTTATTTCATTTCTGAGAATTCCTACAGAGCTAACCGCAAACAATCAGCATGCTCCTACACATTAATAAGCAAATACAGACTATCCCTATGTGTAAGTTCTGCTATAATTTTCAAGTGATGCTCCTTAATTCCTACAGAAAGGCTTACAATATAAAACAGGCCACAATCAAGTACCTGAAATACTGCCAATACCAGTGCTGTTCGCTCCAGATGATGAAACACTTCTCGAATATGTTGCTCTGTTTGAATAGGACAGCTTTGGCCTTTTAGAATCACCATCTTGTGACGCATTGAGAAGCCCACAGTACGTTCCTTGTCTCCGTTCCGATTCTCCCTGATAAGTTAACTATTAACATACAAAAAAAAACACTACATTAATATGTACCACTCATGATTTTCTAAAACATATAGGATAATTACAACTGAAAGGTGAAAAGAAAATCAGCATGCTACCTCAAAAAGTTACTTTAAGTTAAAATTGGTCTGAAGCTTATAAACTGACATATGTGCCTGCATTCACATTACACTCATTTTCCTTATTACTCTGTAGATTTTCCAAGGAATTATATCACACTTCTGTAGAAATTGTTTTTTTCAACCAGCATGTACAACAAAAAAAAAACTGAATGGGTCTTCATAACATCTGTGTACGATTATAAGTAACCTAATGTGGTTATATTTTGTTTAAATTATGAATTGCTCAACGTGTCACAGGAAAGTAGGACAAAACACTATCCTCTAGCTGTTCTGGTCATAAATAACTTCATCCCATTAAGTGCAAAAGCTTATTTAAGATGAGTATATCGGCTTGCTGTACACCACAAAGATCACATTACCAGTTTACTTCGAGTTTCTACAGACCACGACCGATCACATGACACAGAAGGTGGTGTCAAAGAAGGAGAACAAAGTTTCCAGCTGGAATGGCGACTTTCTGGAAGACTGTAGTCTCTAGGTGTACTATGATACCTGGATCCCTGCATTTAAAAAATAACACTTGATTAGCACGTTTTCTGTTATACAGCTCTTCCTGTTTAATTTTTTCAAGGACAGGTTAACCCTTTGTAATTGAGATGCATCTCATCAATACACAAATAAGGGGTTTAATCATTTGTGGCAACCTCCTGATGTACAGTAAACCACAATATTGACGTTTTTATAAACTTTTAGATAAGTGCAAAATCCAGTCTCATTATTTTCATGGTTTGGACTAGATACTATATGTTCAATAATGCTCTGGCATCTCAGGCAAGTCTGCTGTATGTGGGCATTAACACTTAACTCACACATTGCTGACAAATGCTGAGCAGTCCAACTTTCTCCAATTGCATTAGCACTTGAATCAAACAAGCAGAGAAAAACAATCCAATTTATTTTGCTATTAGCCTGTTTGAATAAATTGGGAATGCGTGTTCCTTATGGTAATATAAAAGCACATGCTTTTTTGTGCTTGCACATGAGAAATAAGATTCAATGTTTCTAAGAACTTGCTGTTGTACCCTGAATTAACTAATATCTCAAGAAAGGAGTCACCACCGGAAAGCCTGTAGAAAATAAACCAAAATGCTACAGTAACATAATCTCCTGGGACAGTCTTTGACAAGTAAGCTGAAATATCCGATACTTGGAATCTAAGCAAGACTAAAAAAAGAATTGCTAATATAGCAACTGTAATTTGAATAGCTGTGCAAAAAAACAGATTCCAAGTGGACAAGCTGGAGATTGCATCTAGCTTAGTCTTACCTCACACACACTGCTTCAGAAACGTTAAGTTTACCCCCGAGACTAAGGAAAGCATTCAATAGCAACTTGGAACAAATTTTAAAAAATGATAAAACAATAGATGGAGATACAAAAGCAAAGCTATTTTTCAATATAATAAACCAATTTGAATGTTATCACCTTGCACCACCTGTGTACTCCCTTCTTTTTATTTTTTAATAGGGGGTCCCTGAATGAAAATGATTGCTAAAAAGGGGTCTCCCAGTCAAAAGAAGCTTAAAATTACTGATCTAGGCAAACTTAATAGTTTCCTTGTGGAATATAATGAAATCAGTAACTGCTTCAAATACGATTTTACAGTTTTGAGGGCAAGTCTTATGCATGACATGAAATCAAAGGCAGACCACGGACTGGGCTCAACCGCACTTCTCTCCCACTCCTGGAAGAGAAATCGTTAACGTCAGCGAGAGATACCTGATATTCTGACTCCACCTTGACAGAGGTCCCCCTGGTGTATCGCTCAGTGCTCAGCACACTCCCTCGGTTAGAGTAGAGCCTGCTGGAGCCGAGGGGTGAGGAGGCAGAGGATAAAGACGAAGAAGAGGACAGAGATGACGACGGCCCTGGGCTGCTCTGCATGAAAGGCAGCCTTCTTGGCTTGGAATCCATGTTCAATTACCTGCGTGGAAGAAAAAACAAAATGAGGAAAATTCAAACCTTTCCAAGGCTCAAAATGATTGTTTTTATAGCCTTATATGATCTTGGATGCAAAAAGATAACTCCTTTAGGTAACGGAACCTTACGTGCAGTCAATTAAGATAGTAAATACTGAAGCTGCTTTCTAGCTGTGGCCAAAAGTAACATTCTAGTTAATACTTTCTTTAGCAGATCTGACTAGATAAGGGTTTAGAATTAAAACAGGTAAGATCTTGACTAGAAGTACTAAAACTGCTCAAACACCCAAATTTGACTTAAACACACACCGGTTAAAACAATTTGAATATTCACATCTTAGGCATGTTATTTTTTCCCCAATTGCTTACTATAGGAGGGGCATAGCCTTAAAGAAGCAAATTTTCCAACACTAAAAAAAAAAAAAACTGAATCTTGTCTATTAAAGAACTTATTACACTAGTTTTGTGCAGATTTCTAGAACTTCCAAGTTTCAGATAAAAAAAAATAGTATTTAAAATCACCAAGAGCATCCTTAAAGCACTTTTTTCTTAACGCTAATCAATGCTCATACCATGACAAGACAACCAAGGCTTATAGGAATCAGATTTTACCATATAAACACATACTAAACAGCATAAAGCACCTAAAACAAACAGGGCCTCCATGATTGCAATTGACTTCCCACCATAGCTCTTTGCACAGTATATTAAATAATTTGCTATTTTCAAAAACCACATCACTTCAAGTGGCAAACTGTCTTGTGGGCAAGATAAACTCAGAGCTTTCCTAATTCCAATTTCAACCAACTGGGAAAAGAAAACATTGGACTTGTACCACAAACAGAGAAACCTGATGCTGGCATTGAGTGAGCTCTGTCCTCATGGGTTCTCATGGGTTCAGCACAAGCCAGCAAGTGAGTTTGTGGACCCACAAGGAGCCCATGCAGTTTTGCCACTATAACTATGTACTGTATGGCTTCAGAATAAAGAAGCTTTCTACTCAGGCTTGGGCATAAACATCTCAGGCATGATTTGTTTATATTTTTTTCAGTACACTTAGTATTCAGTTAGACTGCAGATTGTGTAAAGTGTGCAGAATGTAGATTATGAAGGAACTGAGGCAAGAAATGTAAAATCCTGCTCCCGGTTTTCCTGCCATTGACTTTGTGTTTTAAAGGCATGAACCTAACCAAAGACCTGGTTATCAACAGTTAAGCGAGACCCAAAACAGAGTTGATGGTGCTTTACAAAAGCACTACATAGCGAAGTGTCTCAAAGCCGCTAGGTATGCACTGCCCAGCCAGAGAACCCTGCTAAATGTTGTCAGAAACCACGAGTAACTGTTGCATACCAGACTGGGACTGGGACTTAAACATGGTGAATAAGAAATGATCAAAGACAACAATTCTCATAAAAATAACACTACTTGTAGAGTTCCTGATGAACGTTACAGGTTGTAGCACAAAGCATAATCCAATGCTTATTATCAGATGTTAAAGGCATTGCATTATGTTTCTTGCACAGCACAAAGATGGAACATGAACACACATTCCTGCATGCCCGATATCTGTGTGGGGGAATTCAATTCCATGGTGAACAAGTCATTTTATTAATATGAATGTCTTTCTTCCTATATTCACAGAATCCCGATACAATCTAAGTCGGTCAAGCGCAGATTCATAAATCCAAGGCTAACCAGATTTTTTCTTTGCGGAACTTTTCTGAGATTCAATTGAAAATAAGCAAGCACTATGCCAATAAATATGTATCCACAATGACCATTCATTAAGCTAATGGCCCCAGAGCTCATGTCCGCCACATCCCAACATCTGACATTCTACAAAGCTGGAAAAGAAATTCCTCTAAACTCTCTAATTCAAATATTCTAATCAAATTTTCTCTTGCTGACTAAATAAATAAGGAAATAAACACTGAGTCAAATAGAGTAAATAACTGCATAACTCTAAACCCAATTAAGAAATATCTATAGCTTTAAAAATAACTGCACTCACACTTGACGGCTGCAAAGGAGCATTTCACACTATAGGCAGCTCTAAAAATTCCAGTCCTCCTGCTCTGCTAAGGTTGCCAAGCTACATAACACAGACATGTTATACTGACTGGCATTAAAAGGCAACAAATAATGCATGTTAATTTAAAATAACCCACTTCCCTTTCAATATCATAGTCAACATCTTACATATAATTCAGTTCATTCAGCTCACTGAACATTAACACGAGTTGCTGTGTATGAATATAACGATGAAGGTTTAACTAACCGGCCACACAAAATGAGTGCTGGGTGGACAGACAAAAGTTGTTTTTGTCAAGAAGAAAAACGATTTATGCTTTCACACGGAAAAAAAAAGATACCAGTTATAGCCATTAAAATGCATTGCAAAGTACAAAAAAATCCAGAAAGGCATATTACTCAAGGGGTAAACTAAACTAAAGGGGTATTAATTAGGGCAGAACGACAAGCACAAGTCTTCAAAACGTGCAATTTATAAAAATAATCAGACTAGAAAAGGACATTTAAATTACTGAAACGCTAATAGTACAGTATTTTCCAAATGTATCAGGCATTAACAGGTTAATAGCTAAAGCAAGGGCAAGTATGTTACCACGACCAATTCCTGTGGACGTTCAATATTCTGGGGAAAGGACAGCGTTCATCATAAAGGTCATGACGTACTGTGTTGTCATTTGTTTTATTTGAACATTTAAAAATCCATTCAGATCTTTTTTCAACGATTTAATTATTTGTCCACTGCAAGATAGGTCACAAGATGTCAATCGGAAAAAAAAAACTTTAAACCCGCTTGTACAGTAGAATACCAACTTTTCTCAAAGTAATTCTCAAATGTCACAGCCTTACTCAACAAATAATGTTACCACCCCAATGCATTCATGGCAATTTCTCTTTAAATTAAAATAAAGCTACAATTTCAGGCCTGATGTATAATGATTTCTTAGGGTGGTGCTGATTTGGCATTGCTCACAATAAATCTATCAAACCCAGGAAGCGTTTAGATCTTTTTTCCCCTATTAAGAAATCAATTTTATGATTATTCGAAGTGGCCCTGAATACCTAGATACTTGCAAAACACATCTTTATTTGTGTTTCACTCATTTCACTTTACTAAATACCGATTTCGTTATTTATATTTTGTAACCTTTATAAACCTGGGATTAGCGAAACACTGCTTACAGTGTAGGCCATGTTTTTTTACTTCCTTACGTTCAAATGCGATGAAACGCCTTCGTCTATTTACCGAGATCAGACGCCTTTACAAACATTGAAAATAAAATCCCATATCACCCTTCATGCACCATTGGCTGATATACAGCTAACTACACTTCCTTATCAAATAATGCTCTCACTCTTACCTCTCACTCTCCCTCCCTGTTTCACTTTTCTTACCATTGATAATGGCGTCGGTGTTGATATAAAATGGATCACGTGACTTATGAACTGTAACTGGATACCCGGATTGGCCTTCCGTGCTGATTGACCGATCCTGTAACCAATGGGACTCCGCGGTTTCGGACGGTACTTGTTTCTATTGCTGGATCTGTATTTCCTTGCCCAACACGTATAGGAGAGGTTTAGCTGAACATTTTTGTTTATGATCCGTGAGACGATCTTAATTTTAGCCCAGTATGTAGTATGCTACGCATTCATTTATTGAATAGGACTGTCATACGCAGTTACATTATGAGCAAACGTTACACGTTGCAGACAAATGCTGTATAATTGTACTATATTCCAGTTTTAACGACGTCTAGAGACTTTATTATTCTTCACAAAAATAAAAAAGGAATAAAAATGCAAGTTTATATCCTTTTCCTAGGAAAAACTAAAAGTTTTAAAATGTAAAACATGCTAGAGTAAATACATTTAGCGTTGCTTTACCTGGCTATTAGCGTTGTATCAAATGCTTTTAAAACATCTGGTATTACAATATTTACATATTTCTTATCACACCTGAGCTTTTATAGCAGAATTTCGGCTACATATGTTCAGGTTGTGAATTTGTTCTACTACACAAAACTTTTGTGTTCATGATAAATAAGTTATTTTAGGCTTCCGACACAGCTACGTTTGTGGTTGCTCTTTGTACCAGATTCCAGATAAAGAAGCAGTTGAGCAGTTTTGTTCTTTATTCGGTATCATAAACCATCATAAACCATCATACATTTTCTGAAATAATTTCAGCCTGGATTGTTCGCTTAAAAACCGCAGCAACATGACTACCACATAAAAGAAAATCTCCAAAATATCTGAACAAGTATTTTTATTAATATCTTTTATAGACCATTAAACATGCAATATAATTCAGGCCCAGTTTACTGTTTAATATTTCTCTGCAGCAAATAACACATGAAAGTTTGCACTGCTTTAAGTGTTAGCCACTGCAGTGCTTATTGTTGTGGTGTGCAATCCTTGTCCTAGGACAAGTTCTACAAGTTTTTAACAGTCAAATGGCAAATATAACCATTCTAAAAACTGTTTTAATCCCTTCTAATTGATCATTAAATGGCACTAGGACCCCTGTTGCAATCTCCCTAGTTTAGTGTTTTTTTTTGTTCACGTGAGTGCCTTTAGTCATTCTCTGACTTGCCCTGCAAGTAGTAGTCACATTCTCATGGTTATATTTCAGTTCCCTATCTTGAGAAAAACAACAACAAAGCTTTTTTTTTTTTACACTGCTTTATTGTGATCATGGTTGTCTGTTTAAGTGCATGTCTCTGCAAAATGAAATCGGTTTCTCGGATGACGGGTTTAACCAAGTCAGTGTTGTGTATGAGTGGCTAGAGCCTTAGGTTAAATGTGCCCTTAATCCCCCCAAGGTTGAGCAATCCTGGTCCTGGAGGAACAGTGTGTCTGCAGGTTTTCATTCCAACTCAGCTCTTAATGACCTCAATCAGGTTATTATTGGCTTAAGAGGACCAATTTGACAAACTTCTTACACATCGTCGTGCTGGTCTTTTGAAGAGAGCTCCAGTAGGTAACCTGCAGACACATTGTCAGGGTTATCCCTGCCCTAGACTTACAGTATGAAGCACAACAAAACAACACATCATTTTCAATAACTGCTTATCCAATTCAGGGTCATGGTGGCCCGGATCCTATCCTGGAAAGCACTGGGAATAAGGGGTTGTATACTCCCTGATATGAGGCCAGTCCATCATAGGACACATACAGAGACAAATACGCACACACACAGAGTAGGGCCAATTTTTACCAAAGCCATTTTATTCCGGCCAATATGGGAGCAATGAGCACCATTTGTATACATTTTCTTAGGCACCAAAATGGTGAATTCCACAAATGGTGCTCATGACTGGAATAAAAACAAAAACTTTAGATCTGACTATTCCTTCTAAGATTTTTAACAAATTGTAAGGACTAGATTTTAGTGGCTGTTTTATGTCTTATTCCACTGAAAACTATCATGTTGGAAGGGACCGCAGCGTAAATACAGAGGGAGCAGTTGGAGGAACAAGAGAAGCAGAAACATATTCATCATTCATCACCGTCCTCTTCCTCAAAGTATTGAGTCATTCAAGAAAGCCTTGTTCTGTTCAGATATGGAGACCAGATTCTGGCAAAGTAATCTGAACATTATTACACAGAACTTGGTATCTTATTTATTTGTCAAAATTACGATTTTGTATATTGTATAATCATCAGGCTACACATATTATGTGCATGGATTCCCATTCATTCTTGGACAGTCATGTTATGGGAAGAGAGATATAGTTCAGAATAATATCAATTTTTGTTAGGACACAAGTTATTTCTCTCTTTGGACAGAATTCTGATTTTTACACCTGCAGGAAGAAAGACTGTGAAACACATAGATTGAACATACAGTACGTGTATAGATTTGTAAATCAGTATATAGTTGTGTTATTTTCTTTTTAATAAATATTTGTTTGTCCTGTCAAGTTTGAGCCTGATTTATTACTGCATCGCCAGGGCTGTGCTGGAGAATAAAAAGAGCTCACTTGCCTCACATTGTGCTAAAACTCGGTTATTTCCTCACACCATATTTTGTAACAATATAATAAATGACGATGGCAAAAAAGGCATTGTGAAGACTGAGAACCAAAAAAATTGTAAAACTATATTATGCTGCCAACATGATGTTTAGTTTCCTGTGAGTGTTCGTGAATCATTGTGCAATGTAAAGGAGAAGTCAGCCTCTTTTTAAAGATGTTTCAATAGACGTTGTTCTAAAATCCTCTTCTGTGGTGTGACTGAACATATCTCCAGGAACAGAGACACACTGAGCCTTTTCATTAAGGAGAATTTTGACATTTGGGACCATTCTGTGATGTTTATCAATTCGGTGTAAGATAAAGTAGCATTTAATTTTGAATTGGATCCAGACAGTGTCTGTATCTAATCTCGATGAGTTTAACTAGAAAAAAATCAAAATTTGTTGATATGAAAAGGGTAGCAATGTGATTTGTGTAATGTTTGTTTGCCCTAGGCTTGGCAGATCTTTCCTGTTATATGTGCTTAATCATTAAACGCTCTTCTGGTACTGCAGAAGGTACTGTATCTGAGGCCTTCCTGAGATGAAAACAAAAAGCTCCTCTCTCACGAGTAATTAAGCCCTGTCAGTGAATTTAAAAGGTTGGCCACTAGGTGGGGCATCGCCCTACATTTTACTTTATTACGTTTCATCTTCCTTCAGAATAGGTTGTTTTCACATTAGCATGTGTGTAATACACGTTGTTTGTTTTGTCATACAGCAAGGTAATTAAAGGCTAATGATAAACAACACTAATTACACATTGATTTGCATGACAAATATCAAAGCCAGTGCAGACCTTTCAACATCTTGTAATATGACAAAGTGAATTCAAAATAGAAATTACCTACACTGTCCATTAGGACGAAATACTGTAAAACTGTGGATTATGCTTTTTTCATATAAATTAACCAGTAGACATTATTCTTTACTCTAATTTGGTGAATCCCTATATATGAATCTATTTGTTCAAGGATTCAGAATGTTTATTTTAATGCTTACATTAAATTACAAATATATTTGCAAATATTTCCCCCTCTCCTTTGGAATAAGGAAATACAATATCTTTGTTGTCTTATTTATTTAATTATTCATCCACAGTGTGGGTTAATTCAGTTGTAATTGATCACATTACTAGTTCTATGTTGTATGTGTGGCACTGAGGTGAGAAGGGAATTATGTTGTTTTTGTATTATAATGTTAAGCAGTTGTGTGACAAAGTTAAAAATGGCTAAAATAATTAAATTTCCTCAGGAAGTGGTCTTTGAACCAGGAAGTGGTCTTTGAACAGGTACTGATAATGTAGGAATTGCAGTTCAAAAAAGAAATGTTTCATTGTTTTACTTTCTTTTTCAGAATTTTCATAAACCACATAATAGTTGGCCTACGTATGAACAAAAGTTAAGCTGCAGTGCAGTGACCTAGATATTGTTTGACTGTATAAGGACTTTAAAAAAAGGTTGGTGTAAGCTACTGCACAACTAATCCTACACTAGAGATCAAATGGCAACAAAGAATAACAAATGAAGAGGTCAGGTGAAATACAAGGCTTTGTTAACCCAGCAGAATGGCTCACTGCTGCACTGCCTTGTGTTACTCTGGTCATGTGATCTATCTGGACTTTCAGTGACTGTCTTGTTGAATGCTGAAGAAGCATTAAAAAAAAACAAATACCACATTATCTACAATTTCTTGCCTTTACACTCTGTGGGAGAGTGCTAAACTTGAGCAATTAAAACCAAAGCTGTAAAAACTTCCGGCAGAAGCATGAAAAGTAAGTGCCAATGAATCTCTAATCAGATCCAAACCTCAGATAGTGCTAAATGCTTTGTGTCTTTACCCAGAAGTGTTCATATTTAACTCACACAAATTGCTATCCTTGTGTTTATTTACTGATAGTTTACATTGGAAATGTCCTAAAAAAAGAAGGTGTTTAAAGGTGAGACTAAGCAGAGACTGGTAACAGCAGCATAACACAAGAACATACAGAACAATACAGTGGAAATAACATCTGACTCATCTTGCTTGTTTGGTAGCTTGGAACACAGGTGGATCTAAACTCTCATCCTGACTTTCTTAAAGGAGACCAGAGCTTGTGCCGAGAGCTCATGTTGCAACCATATGGCCTGAGAACCTGTTCTGGACGCTCCCAACTCTCTATGTAAAGACGCATTTCCTATACTTCAACTAAAACAAATTCATAACCTTTTCAAATTGTGATCCTATATCCTGGTTTCAATACTGCTGTGAAAAATAGTCCCCTGGGTGGGCACAAGTTATACCCCTTTTCATACACATTTTGTGCATGTGGATCAAATCTCCTTTGAATGCACTTTGTTCTGGATTGAAGATAGTTAGCTGCCATAACCTGTTTGAGTAAAATAATCCCCTGTGACCAGGAATCCTTCTTTTTGTACTTTTTTGTATTGTGAACAAAACTGAGCACATCATTCTAAACCATGTCTTATTAATACATGGTAAAGCATGAATATAATGTCCTTTGACATAAATTCAACAAGTTTTTCTGTCTGAGTCTGTCTGTCTTTTATTGCTTCCTCACCT